GTCAACTCAACTCATATCATTGTGGGAAAATTCTACTACCAGTCCTTCATCCCCTTAGACGAAATAGGGTAAGTACATTTCATTAAACTGATTTACTGGTAGTCTCGAAATCCTACTAACTTACAAATGTTTTATATTTTAGAGACAGCGTCAGAATGAATCTTTCAGTAAAGCCAATCAACAACTGATCAAGAGGAATCCGCCGTCGTCTTCTGGTCGAACCGACCTTCAAATCTTTTCACCCAACACTTTGACTCGAAATGGAAGTAAGCTCAACAATTATGAAACAAGATATTCCTCGAATCCCAACTTTTCTTTGCATATCAGTCTTTTTTCAACTTATGCAACGTGCCGAAACTTACCCGAAACAAATATACAGATGTTTATTCCGGCTAGTAGGACTGTTTTATAAGGAAAAAATGGGTTTAGAAGACTTGCTTGAGGATTTATTTTGATCTGACATTTTATTCCAAGGGAAAAGGTGGTTGGAGGCAATTCGTGTATCGGTTTCACTGGAAACCGAAAGTGGACTTCCACTGAGTGGATTAAAGATTGTTGGATTGTGCAAAGAAATCCTCGCCCCACCGTCTTGCGACTCTGTTGGTGGTGGGCTGAGGACTGCATTGCCGAATTTAACGATCTTCACTCCATTCAGCTGCAATCGTTCTTTGGTTTTCGGTGCGACCGATTCACGAATTCATTCAAAACAACTTGTCTTAGAGATTAAAATTAACGTTACAATAGTTATACTGTTGTCAGATAACCACATCTTATCAGTTGCCATCCGCAGATTGAATTCAACTGTTGTAGAGCCTAGCTTCCCTAATTTCCAAGACTAAGCCCTCGGCAACTCCCCGGGCAAACTCATTGACTATGCGAAGAAGTGGCAGGATTAGATGAATCTTCCGGGGCAACCATGTTGTAAAGTCTTCCATTTTGTATGATGAAGAGTTTCGTGGGTCGAGTTCACCAGAAGACAATGGCTGATTCGCGTCGTAAGTCGTATCAAAAGCAAGCAGCTACAGTAGAAATGGAATCGACTGTCGTCTTCTGATGTGACTGGCCTATGAATCTCTTCCTCCGGCACCTTCATACGAAATGAAAGTCTGCCTAATAATACTTTCGGTCTATTCCGTCTGAAGGCTTTCAGAGCGCCTACAATTGGAAGACTAAACCAACTCCATTGAGCTCTGCAGGTTTGGACAAATTTAGGTGCCTATGAGGTGGCAGTTAAATCCCTCCACAATCATATAAGTAGACCTTACGTTTTCCATTGAATTTCACATAGTTTTGCTTATCAAAAAGGTATTCTCATCCCGGCTGGACTCGACTGGACAGCAGTTTCAACCTCATCTGAGCCGATCTCATCAGCAGCACCACCGGCGGGACTCGAACCATGTCGAAAGTCCTTACGTCACAGTGCAGATGTGAATTTGAGGAAGGTGAGGTATTTTGCTTTATTACCTTGCGTGGTGTGATTGCCGATGAAGCAAAGTTGTATTTGCTATAGCAATCGGCTACTTTACTTGTTATCTTATTTATAAGTTGGTAGACCTTCGTGGAAAATTTGCATCTGTCAAGTGACCCAAAGATTCGCGTGGCAATGTGTCGTTATGATTAACGTGTTATGTATATGATCTACAGGTAGTCTCGAAGACCTACGAAATGTAAGTGTGCCGGAGGGACAGACACACGGGACTCGGTGGATAAATGCATAGATGGGAGACTGAGGCGCTTGTATGAGTGGGTAGATAGACATGTGGATGGGCACAATTGCTGTCCGAGAGGAAGTTGGGGCGATTGAAGGGGAAGGGAGAACGGAAGTACTGTAGGAAAGTACAGTCCGGCGGGTATGGATGTAAATTAATCGAGAACGAGAAGAGGAAGAGGCAAGAAGGGAGGGCAGGAGAGAAGAAAAGACTGGCAGAACTGGGAGAAAACGAAGAGCTTTTAGGGATTTGTGGAAAGTGGGAAGACGCCATTGACGCAGCCGGCCTCCCTGGCAGGAGATCTACGTAAGCTGTCACTTGCTTCTTTTCAACAGGGTCGACTAGGCAAAAAGCCCATGGGCTTGAGCAGAAAGTGTGGCAAAAGAGACACATGAACAGTCGCCGTCAAAGTGCTTGCACTCCGACTGGCCGAAGACGGAGACAGAGACGGAAAGGCAATTGACAACAATTCAGGACGAAGCAAAATGAGTCAAAATTGCCCCCTCAACTGCTCATGACTGCTTTGATCGGTTCAAGGCATAACAATGACCCCTGCCCTCTTGAAAACAGGCCCAACACGTTGACATATCCACAGGTCCTTTCCCTAACCACCAGCATGAATCTTCATTTTAGGTCTTTTTATGCCTTCACACGGCTGAACACTTGCTTGTTTACGTCCATCCATTCAGATTATCGTCTCACCCTATACCACTCATCCATATTTCTGTCTACCAACGAAG